AAAGAGTGTAATGGAGACCTTGAAGAAAAGCGAGAGGAGAGCGAATATTAGAGGGAGGTCAGTAGGGGAAAAAAACATAAGAGACCAGGACAAATAATAGTAAAAGTAAATGCGTATGTAAGTATGAGAAAATGAAAGTGAAGGACTTATTTTATAGCTGTGATTGCACCACACGAGCTCTCGTAAAAGTGTGAATAAAGAACAGAAATGTTCCCCCTGCAACACACTGTCTATAACAAACATAATCTGTATTGGTAAATGAAACTGGTAAACAGTGGGAGATGGAGACGGAAACAAAGGCTTTTTGAGCCCTGCATGCTAATTTGGCCTCTTTATGAGCACTCTGTGGCTCTTCAAGGCTTATAAGCCTCCCTGTGATCCAGCCCACCACCCACATTCTGCTTACAAATGCATGCTAATTTCCCATGCTTCACATCTGAGGAACCGGACCTCCTCCATATGGCCAGAGAGTGCATTCGCTGCTTGGCTTTAATTAAAGGTCCAGTGTGGCAGAAATGGGATATAATGTAGGAAGTATGTTTCCTTTAGTATATAATCACCTGAAAATGAGAATCGTGTTTTTGTTACTTTAGAATCAGCTGTATATATCTACATAAAGGAGCAGGTCCTCCTATATGGAAATCGCCCTTTTTCCACTGCAGCTTCACTACAGTAGCCCAGAATGGACAAACCAAACACTGGCTCTCCATAGGGCCATCTGTGTTTTCATGTCGGCCACCAAGGTTTGGCGGCCTTTCCTTGATGAGAGGATCAAAAAAATACTGATTTTTTTAAACATGAAACTGCTTTTTTCAGTGTTTTTACTGGTTTAAATCACCTGGTTGTTTTGTTTTGAGAGGAAGAGACCTCTGCAGATAATTCAGCTCCTGGACCACATGCGATTTTGCGTATGCCAATCTGCGACAAGAGCATTGGAAACACTAATTTTTTACATGTGAAAGTGCTACTCTGTCTTTTTATCAGTTTAAATCACCCGGCCTGTTTGTTTTGGAAAGGAAGAGACCTCTGCAGATAATTCAGTGTCCGGTAAAAATCGTCCGGTAAAAAAAGTTCAGCACACAATAGCAGATTTGGAGCTGACGAACCGAACTAGCATACGAGAAACACTGATTTGTAATGTGAAACTGCTTTGTTCAGTGCGTTTACTGGTTTAAATCTCTGGGTTTTAGCTTCTTTATTTTAAGATAGATTTTAAGATTTAACTGATTACAGTTAAAAGGATAGTGCACCCAAAAATGAAAATTCAGCCATTATCTACTCACCCATATGCCAAGGGAGGCTCAGGTGAAGTTTTAGAGTCCTCACATCACTTGCAGAGATCCCAGGGGAGAGGGGGTAGCAACAAAACTCCACCTAATGGAGGCTTATGGTGCCCCAGATTAAAACCAAATATCTCCATACTGCTTGTCCGTAGCGGAAGCGAAGTGTCCTGATCCCCGACATAAAAAGTTGTTTGGAAAAACGTCATTTGAACTCTGTTTTTAGCCTCATTGTAGCCTGTAGCTCGAACTGCCTCTCTGTGCACTGCGCTCACATGTGTGCACTTAAATCTAAAACTTCACCTGAGACATCGGCATATGGGTGAGTAGATAATGGCTGAATTTTCATTTTTGGGTGCACTATCCCTTTAAGGCTCTTCATGGTCCCTCTCCCAGCTATATCTATCTATCTTAGTACGTACTTTGAGATCCTCCGGCAGAGGTCTTTTGTCTGTTCCAGAGGCCCGACTGAAAACTAAAGGGGACAGTGTGTTTGCTGTCAGGGCCCCGAGGCTCTGGAACGGTCTGCCCAAGGGAATCAGGTTGACCAAGTCAGTGATCTCTTTTAAATCCCTTCTGAAAAACTTATTTTTATTGGAGAGCCTTCCCTGATTTCCTGACTTTTAAGTTCACGTAGAGTGTCTTTTATTTCCTAATTTTTTATATACATAAGTTCTTTTATCAGTTCTTTTAAAAATTGTTGTTTTCATGTCTTGTCTGTTTTTTATTGACATGTAAAGCACTTTGTAACTCTGTTTTGAAAAGCGCTTTATAAATGAAAAATAAAGGCAGAGAGTTTATTTTTGTCTCACATTAAAAACGTCTGTGTCAGAAAATAGGTGAGCACAGCAGGTGCTGGTCTGTGATGCGTCAAACAGGGTAGGAGAAACACTGATTTGTAACGTGAAACTGCTTTATTCAGTGTTTTTACTGGTTTTATTTACCTCGTCCATTTGTTTGGGAGGCAAAGACACATCTGCGGTTAATTCGGCTCCCTTTAAAAACCTCCTGAACAATAAACACTGAAGGAATCCTAACAGGGAGAAGTTTAAGCTGGTTGCAATCTGCAATCCCTTACTGCTAGATTCCATTAAATCCCCTTTAATCTTACACACTATTCCTTTAAACAGCCATTAATAGCCTTTCAGCTGTTACTGCAAAACATTTGTTGACAAACATCCCCATCTCCCTGTGATAGAGAGGTCAAAATTATGAAAAATGATGATCAAAATTAGAGAGTACTGTTTGTCATGCTGACACTGAAATCCTGAATCACTCATAGTTAATAATAATCATACACTCTGACGCAAATGATGATTTCATCAAGGGTATCTGTGTGTGTGTTTGCGCGTCTGAGTGTGTGAGTGGGTGGTGAGGGGGTCATACAGGGTCCCCAACTTCAATTTTAATAAATTAAAAGATTGCTTTCTGGGCACGATTAAACTTTAATTAGACGTCGATAGGTGGGTGGAGAGTTATTATGAGCCCCATAGTAGGGCTGTGAGTTGTGCACTTGTTTATGAGCCTTTAGTTATGAATGAATCCGTCTACCTGGGTGAGTCATAACAGCCTGCGCATTTATTGTACGTCCTTCTCTGAACTTGCGAGTGCTCATACATCCGCCAAGGCACTGAGTTGTTTTCAAGTTGTTCTGAGCGAGAATGCTGGCCTTACTGAAATAATAGCACTGAATTTAATAGATTTTTTTTTCTTTAAATGCAGCATGTACACCATTTATTTGGTCTATTTCAAAATGTTCTCATGTCTGTCTCGCAGTAAAACGGCTCCCTTATCAATAAATGTAAGTTGCAATATAGCAGACACTGGCCTCGCTTTGTCCTTCACGGATTTTATGAGTGTTTTGAGAAAAGACAAAGTTTGATGGGCAGTTTGTGAGTTCCAGCTCTTGCGAGTCATTTATCATCACTGCGAGGGACGATCGGACGGCTATCGCAATATCCCTCTGTTGAAGTTTGTGGGTAACGCAGCCCTCCCATCCTCTGCTCTCTTCTGTATCTTCAACTGGATTAGGAACTATGAGACTGGCGGTTATATAACCATGCCAACTAGGGATATTTTCCTGTCTCTACATCTCTGCCTGTGCCCCCACCCCATTTTTCTGTCTCTCTCACACACACGCACACACACACATTCTCCCTCTGCAGCTCATTTCCACAAACGTGCTCCAGCAGCATGTCTTCATCCTCAATGCAACAGCTATGACTTAATGTTGTCTCCAGCTGACATCCGTGACTAGTTCCACCCCCGCCTGTGCATCTGCTACCCACACCAGCCTATATGCTTCTCATATCTTACACTGCAAATACAATATCCATCTTCACAATATTTCCTCCCCCGCTGAGTCCTGAAATGAGTTTTATTTTTAAACCCGAATGAGTATTTTTGCTAATGTGATGAGATAATGGCGCCGTCTTTCAAGGCTGGTGTAGGACTTTTATGATCATGCAGTTCATTTGTCTAATAGATAGTGTTGTCATGATACCAACATTATGGATTTGATACGATAGCTGCCTAAAAAACTGAAGCCATAACATGACAAAAGTCCAAAAAGTCAGAAAAAGTACCTTAAAACTTCAACTGAAAACCTAGCCTCTGATTATTTGACACTCAACCTAAGGCATCATGCATGGCTCACAACAACAACAACAACAACAGCGATAACTATTTTCAACATGGAAAAATGGACAAATAATCAAATAAGACATTAAGTGTTCAATTTATCACTACGGATTTATTCTACAAAGTCTCCTAAAAGACACCGCAGTTCAAGGTTGCATTACAAAGCTTCTGAAAGTTGTATATGACATGATAAGACAGACTCGTGTAGCTCAGCTGGAGAAGCCCTGCTTCAGTGATACAGTGCACAGTTTTTAAAAAAAATTTCAGATAACATTACATTAGATACCACAGTTATTTTTTCCTTGCCCAATCAGACAACAGCTTGAGGCATTACACTTGCCCAAACACAGAGTTTACCTCACCCGGGCAAGCAGTGAGCCCTGCAGAGCACTGTCGCATATCGACGCAACTCATAGAAAGTTATTGGAAATATAGCTCTTATTAAAACACTGTCATTCTTAAAGAACCCGTACTAATAAAATGGAGTATTGTACTGTTTTTAAAGACAGGTTATTGCAATACCTGTCTAGTATTGGTATTCTGTGAAACACTACTAATAGATATTTAAAAGATTATTTAAAAAGATTTACTTCAGAGACAAGCGAGCACGTTTCACAGCTCAGACTGCATTCATACAGAAAGGATATTTTTTGAAATGTAGTATCCTTTCATGACCAGAACCTTAACTAGAAATCAGGATGAAAAACAAACAAAATCACAATAAAATTAGGTTTTACTTCTGTTTATAGCCGCGACATAACAAGCCTCCGTTAGTGGCCAGTAAAAGAAGAAGAACTTGGTGTCAAATTAAATGTAAAACATGCACGGTGCTGCTTCAACAACAAAGGGGGGGGGGGGGGAATAAGCGCTGCACGGCAACACAAAGGCACATCTGAAGAGCTCTTGAATAGAACGGAGATGAAAGGGTTTAGAAGGGCTGAGTCTTTGTTGCAGTGGGATATTAGAAGAGACAACAAATGGAACAAAACACAACACGTGTTAATGAGCAAATACTCATGCTGGTAGCGCACACACGTGCACGGCCCAACGACATGGCTGTTGGAAGGGGTTGTGTCTTACCGAGCTGTAGAGCATGCCCTCGCCATTCATGGCGATGTAAAAGCCACTCTTCACTCCCTGGATGGCCACCACTCTCAGACCCACAGGAATAAGATTAAACAGGGCTGCAGAACAGACAGAGTGAGGGAGAGCGGGAGAGAGGGACAGATACAAAGAGGCAGAGACAAAAGAGAGACATCAGACAGAAAGGACAGAATAAGACAATTGAGTTTTCACTTAACTGTTGTAGACACAACAGGCTCTGCTCTCTGTACTTTGGCTATCCGTCAGCAGTAAAGTGAAAAGGACAATGGGAACACTGATGCACCTCAGTGTGACAGTGAAGCATTAATGTTAAAACAGAAATCCAAAACTTTCTGGTACAATAAAATAAGGCATCCGATGAGCATCATTGTTTTGTTTTAACGTCTGCCGGTGTAGGTGAATAAAAATGTCTTCAACTAATCTGACAACCTGTATGATAATGAGGATTAATTGCTAGTACTTTGACACTAACTTATATTTATGTCCCTTGTGTGCAACAACTTTGGATTGAACAGGCATAACTGGGATTAGGGAGCCGCTGTAACATTGCAAAAGGTATTTTGTGGAAATGGGATGTAAGACTTGAGGTGGCGAACACCCCAAGACACACTGACGTAGCATGCTGTTGCTATCTCGCTAATGTTAACTAATCATTCTCTGAGCAGCGTGAAGTTGCAGATTGATTAATGGGTGAATGTCATGGTACTATCGGTTGAAATCTGTTGGTTCTTACTAATTTTTTGGCATATATTGTGAAATAGGTGCAGAATATGGCCGGGGATGTGATTTAAAGGGGTCAAAAGGGCATTTTTCATTTCATCTCGACTTTAAATATTCATGACTAAATAATTAACCATGGAAATGAAAGTTCAGAAAAAACTAATTTGCGATATAAATCATTAAATATTTATTGTTTGATCAATTATTACTAAAGGCTCATCGGTGCACAGAAGTTTGTGACATCACCTTTTGCCAACTGAGCCTCGCCCACTTTAAAGCAATTACATGAACACTGATAAAACAGTGCAGACAGAAATCTCTTGTGTGAAATATTCAGAACTGTTTTAACTTTGGCAGAAAATTGTGTATTCATATTTGACCCATCAATCATACCAATAAGCTGATTGAGAACATTTGTTTTCAGGGCCTTTGATGTCTAAAAATACCACGCAAATGACACCACATAAAAATAAATTTGTTATGGATCTTGGCTTTCAGTGCAGCACGTAAAGCCAAGTATACTTATTCCCAACTCTTTGAATACCGACCCTTGGTTAACAGCCCGTGGCATCAGATACTGACGCAGTGAGGCACCCTTTAGCATCTGTAAGAGACGCACTGCATTATTTTGCCCATTGTGCCATAGTATAAAGACTGAAAAAGTCACTGCAGAATGCTAAGGGAGGGGTGGAGGATGGGTCAAACAAACACAGGACTTTAACCTGGGAGACTGCTGTTTGTGTCCCACGCAAAAATATATAGAATATTTTAAGAACGTAGCATTAAGGTGTGTAATATGTAATGTTACGTTAATAAGAAATGCACTTATTTTAACCCAAAACATGATCTTTTTCTGACCAAACCATGCACTTTTGTTGCCTAAACCTAAAAACTAAGTAAACCTATGTTGGAATCTATTTTGAAAGAGAGTGTATGCATTTGACAAGTGGAAACTGTATATTTCCTATGAACACAAAAGTTTATTTTGAAAGACACCATGCATGTATCGAGTAGAAATTGACAAACCATCCCTGAGTGTCCAAAATTGACCCTAGACCCTACGTGTTGGGCCATCAACCAAGCGTTGGTATTTGACGAACTGGGAGTAAGAATGTGTTGGCCAAGTAGAACCAGAAGTTGCCCAAAACTATGATAAAAATTTGATTTTATTCACGACTCTGTATATTTTTCATTCGTGCAGCTTGTAGCAAAATCAAGAATTAGTATGTGAGAAGCAACTGGACATGTTTGGTCTTAAAGATATCTGGTCAATCATCTAAAAGGCTTCATTAATTTATTTAAACTTTTTCTTCAGCTTCTACAATGAATTACTTTTATTTCTGTCGGTACGTTCTCTTGAATCTGAGGACTGTGACTTTTGTGGGCTTTAGCTTGGTGAAGGTGTGAGGACACTCTTTACTCTGTGTATTGCTGGGATGATTGTTCTGCAAGTGGCAATGGGGACTATCAGATAAAGCTGGCAGGGACGAGAGGACATGTGCCAACACAGGTCTGTCCTCCGAGCAGATTCAATTTCACTCAATAAATATCGACGTGCTGCTTTCGCCTGCCAATGGTCTAACTCTGCCCTCAGGCCACTGGTACGGGTGATACACACTGGCCACTCTTGCAGTTATGTATACCCTTGAGGGCCGGATGTTTGGGGTACTCTGGCAGAATTTGAATCCATTAGCACCTTAATTTTTTGTTTTCTCAGACTTTTCGATCTCTTTTTTCATCACTTTTCTGTCATAACGCTCACCCTCCCCTCTGTCTGTTCCCTCGCTCCTTTTTCCATTTGCCTGTCATGGCTGCTGCCTTTGTCGCTCCGATGACTGGCAGTGTCTCTCAGAGGCACTGTCCATAGTTCTCTCACGTATCACTAAAACCCAGGAGTGTTCCACCTCGGAGCACCTCCACCTATCAAAACATATTCTGGCTTTTTCTGAGCAGTCATACTTGCAATAGGGCCCTCAAAAGACTCTCCGTAATAGCTTGGCTTGAAAAGTGGGAGGAAAGGAGGCATAAAGTATGGCAAGCTAGTCCACTATTTTGCTATAATTATGATCTGCCATCCCTGCTCTCATTTGCCTGCCAAAGGCTTACACAGCCGACAGGAGCTGTCATTCAGCTACCTTCTAAATGTCCGGCTTTTCTATTTGCAGCTCCAGCGGTTGATGGGTTCCATAATTACTACTGTTAGAGTACCTGATGACTGTTCTGGAGGCGATTCCTCTTCCTTAATAACCTCAATCCCATCTCTCGCCGAGAAAAGAGAGTGGCTGGGATGGTGCAGGGACAGAGTTAAGAGATTTCCAGGGATCTTCTATCGTCAAAGGGCCAGACAAAATGGGTTCAAACAACCCAATAAAGCGAAATCCTTGAAAACGGTAAGTCTTCCAGTGGAGCAGTAATCGGCTGCAAGCAAATCCTGCAGGTGGGCTGGAGGACGTGCATTTGATGTAAGGAATAGTGGCGCAGTAGGAAATAAAGCCTGCAGGAAAGGTTTACAGAAACACTGAGCCAAACTTCATATGCCAAGGGCATGTCTCCAAATCCAGAGAGAAACACAAATCCAAAGATGTGAGAGCTGGTGTAACACAGGTGTGTTAGTCTTATATACAGACTTTAATAGGGTCACCAGAAAATGTTGCATGTCCATTTCTGCAAACCATGGATACAAAATATTTGCAGGTTGGCATAAAGCTGACGTCTTACGGCCTCCTATGCGGGAAAAAACTCATCCTTTTACATTGGAAATCGAAGGAGACACCAACTTTTAGGGCCTGGGTAACTGCATTGACTGATAGATTACATCTTGAAAGGATTCGGTATGCTCTGAACAACAAGCTGGAAGACTTCAACAAGATCTTGAAACCAATAATCTCAAATTTAGGACAATATGTAGTCTTTTATTTTATTTCATATATTTGTTTTTTCTTTTCTATTCTTATCTATCTCCCCAGGTATTGTTATTTTTGTATTTTCTAATTTTGTATTTGTATTATCAATCAATCAATTTCAATTTTATTTATAAAGCCCAATATCACAAATCACAATTTGCCTCACAGGGCTTTACAGCATACGACATCCCTCTGTTCTTATGACCCTCGCAGCGGATAAGGAAAAACTCCCCAAAAAAAACCCTTTAACGGGGAAAAAAAACGGTAGAAACCTCAGGAAGAGCAACTGAGAAGGGATCCCTCTTCCAGGACGGACAGACGTGCAATAAATGTCGTACAGAACAGATCAGTATAATAAATTAACAGTAATCCGCATGACACAATGAGACAGAGAGAGAGAGAGACAGAGAGAGAGATGCAGGTAATAACAGTAGCTTACAACAACATTATTGAAAGTAATAATATTATAGTTATAGTTCTGGCTACTGTGGTACAATATGTTGAAAGTATGTATTAATATCTGGCAGTATACATGTGTGACAATAGTCATATGTGTATAATAACAGTAGAAGTATGACTAATGACTAATGATGGCAGCAGCAGCAGGAGGCATCTGGCAGGACCACGGCAGCAGCACAACCACACACGTCACGCTGTCCAGGCACCGCTGCGATATGAGTTAATCTGAGAGACAGTGGAGCACAAAGGCTCCGGAGAAGAAGCCGAGTTAGTGACATCCAAAATGGCCGAGTTAGCAAGATGCAGTAATAGAATACGAGAGAGAGAGAGAGAAGGAGAGAAGGTGCCCGGTGTATTATGGGGGGGTCCTCCAGCAGACTAGGCCTAAGTCAGCCTAACTAGGGGCTGGTACAGGGCAAGCCTGAGCCAGCCCTAACTATAAGTTTTATCAAAGAGGAAAGTCTTAAGTCTAGTCTTAAATGTGGAGACGGTGTCTGCCTCCCGGACAGTAACAGGAAGATGATTCCACAGGAGAGGAGCCTGATAGCTGAAGGCTCTAGCTCCTGATCTACTTTTGGAGACTTTAGGGACCACGAGTAACCCTGCGTTCTCAGAGCGCAGTGTTCTGGTGGGATAATATGGCACTATGAGCTCTCTAAGATATGATGGAGCTTGACCATTTAGAGCTTTATAAGTTAACAGTAGGATTTTAAATTCAATTCTGGATTTTACAGGGAGCCAGTGCAGAGAAGCTAAAACAGGAGAAATATGATCACGTTTCTTAGTTCCTGTTAGTACACGTGCTGCTGCATTCTGAATTAGCTGGAGAGTTTTTAAGGACTTACTAGAGCTACCTGATAATAGAGAGTTACAGTAATCCAGCCTAGAGGTAACAAAAGCGTGGACCAATTTTTCTGCATCTTTTCGGGTCAGGATAGGCCTAATTTTCGCAATATTACGCAGATGAAAAAATGCAGTCCGTGAGGTTTGTTTTAAATGAGAATTAAAAGACAAATCTTGATCAAATATTACTCCGAGGTTTCTTACGGTAGTGCTAGAGGCCAGAGCAATGCCATCTAGAGAAACTATGTCATCAGATAAAGAGTCTCTGAGTTGTTTGGGGCCAAGAACAATAACTTCAGTTTTGTCTGAATTTAACATCAGGAAATTGGTGCTCATCCAAGTTTTTATGTCTTTAAGGCAGTTATGGAGTTTAGTTAATTGATTACTTTCTTCTGGCTTCATTGATAAATACAACTGAGTATCATCCGCATAACAATGAAAATTTATAGAGTGATTTCTAATGATGTTACCTAAAGGAAGCATATATAGAGTAAATAGGATTGGTCCGAGCACAGAACCTTGCGGAACTCCAAAACAAACTTTGGTACGTAAGGATGATTCATTATGAACATCAACAAACTGAAAACGATCAGATAAATAAGATTTAAACCAGCTTAGTGCAGAACCTTTTAGGCCAATTAAGTGATCCAGTCTCTGCAGTAGAATTACAGTTCTGTAATGTGTTTGTTTATAATGGAAATGAGGCAATGTTTATACCAAGAAAGATGGTACTGCTGTTTTACTGTTGCTTCACAATAAAAATATTTGAAACTGGCATAAAGTTGAAATGTTGAAACTTTACTTGTTAGGTTTAGGCACAAAAACCACTTGGTTATGGTTAGGAAAAGATCCTGTTTTGGCCCAAAATAGCTGGTGTGGGGGGCCCAATCCCTGCAAGAAAAGATGTGATGTCTGGGTGAAAAACAACCACTTTTCATGGTACTGTCCTGACAGAAAAAGCAGTGATGTCTCGGTAAAAATCAACCAACAATCATGTCAGTTTAACGGCAGGAAAAGCAGCAATGTCTCGGTAAAAAACAACCACAATTTTTGCCTGAAAGTTGCTGAAAAAACAGCAACAGCAATGTTTGTTGGTCTTGAACCATCATCTGCAGCTCACCTAGGTGTTGCACTGTCCACCATCCCCTCCGCATCTAGTTGACAAAGTCAGCTCATATACAACATAATAGCACACATGAACTTTTGCTGTGAGAATATTTAAAAAATTTCAGTTCAAATGAATATTGGCAGATGTGTCATAGTAAAGCTGTTGGACTTTAGACACGATTGTCCCCCTGTCCTCTACCACTGACACTAGCCTGCAGTCCATTGCACTCCATTTTGCAAGGGAGTTAAGTCGGTCACAGGTAGACTTACTCAGTTTGAGTCTGAACACCTGGCTGAGTGTGGCTTGACGAGGCTAACTGCTAGCGCTAGCATCAGAGGCTGTGCTAGCTCTGACCTCAGAGTTTGCTGCTAAATGTTTTACATTGAGGTGATATTTCAGGCTTGAAGTTCTCCGATAGTACAAAAATTCCTTACTGCAGACATTGCAGAGAACAGGGCTCCTATCGACAGTTCAATCTGGGCATTTTTTTAAAAATTGTAAATGTTCCAGTCACGGGCCAGGCAGCGTCGTCTCGTCTGCCTCCATCATGTAACAAAGCTACTGCGGCCTTCAATGACACAGTGGGTCAAAGGGCACAATGGAACGCGATAAATCGGCATTCATTTTTTAACGTGTTAATTTTTCTGAGATTAATTAATTGAAATTGATGCGTTATTTTGACAACCCTAATATAGATATAGCGTATTTGTGGTTTGCAGAAATTACAATGCCAACATTTTCATCTGGTGACTGGGCTGCTTTAACTCAATTCTGGTGACACTCCTTCTTCATGCCATACATCTTAAAGTACTTGAAATTAGTAACTTGGTCTTCAACTAATAGAAAAAGGTCTCGGTTCATCTCATCCATCAACGAGGAGCATCCGAGACAGATGGAGTGTGAACGCCTGATACCGCAGGTGTCTCATAACCAGCAGTATCTTTCTGGAGCTGCAGTGTGTGTGTGGGTAATTACTGCAGGCGATCAACTGATGACAATCAAATTAATAACTGCTCAAATTTGAACATGAGCACTAATTAATTGAACAGTGTTTCACAGCCCTTGCAGTTAGTTAAGCGTGGCTCCGCCAGTCAGCCATGCTTACCACTAAAGCAGTTTTACATACTGCGGTAACAATTTACTGAGTATTTGGGGTCAAACAAGTCTTTTGAGCTGATTTTATTAAAGCAGAATTTCATTTATTTTGGATGCATTTCTCCAGCTAAATCTATTTGCTGTTCAGTTGTGTCCTTGTCTCAGCACTTCTACAGCAATATAATAAAAAATGGAATTGAAATGCACTCCAGGCTCAGGTCGCACCTAGTATGCAGGCGCCGTCATGCTCCTCAATCCCATCGGTTCCACTGAACCTCCCCCTGAAAATAAATTACAGTATTCCATCTGCCGCGGCTGAAGATGCTGCAGGTCAGAGGGGTGGTATGGTTCAAGGGTGGGGGTGGGGGGTAATCTATTATTCTGATAATCCAGCCGGGCAGTCGATAGTTCAGTGCAAGATCTGAATACCAAATCTCATCGTCTATTTCTGTCTCTCTTTTTCTTTCCTCTTTCTGTCTCCATCTTTCTTCTCAAAACACTTCAGATTCCTCTCGCTACCCCTCCTGCTCGCCTCTGCTCTCTTTCTGTGTCTTCGTTCGGACCATCTCTCAGCTCAAGGCATCTCACATAGAGAATTATTCATTGGGTACAAACGGGGAAGGTGGTATTTTTAGTTTCCTCTGGCTGAATTATTCACTGCATTCCTCCATCCCTGGGCCAGCGGGACTGCTTAACAAGAGGATTACCTAGAGGTGGGGAAACCCTCACATTCCACAAAAAACTCATCAGCCAAAAACCTTTGGAGCACAATGGAGGCTCCAAAAAAACCAGCAATGTGTTTAAGGTGCACAGAGGAAATGCAGGGTGTGTTTTCCTTTTTTTCTTTGTTTGTGCAGTAATCCTTTTTGTCCTGAAGACCCTTTTCCTTATGCTATAAGTACTGAAGATCTATCCCCTCATAAAATATAAAACGACAAGTGACAGCGAGAGACCGTTCTTTTCACCGCATGACTGCTATGGTCCAGCAGCTTTGGCTCGGGCTTCCTTTAAGATTGGCAGGATGTTTTAGAGAAGAAAGGTCATGATTGGTTTCCTGTCTGGCCTCACTCCAGACTGGGAGCGTCGTCATTATCGCTTTGACGACCATTCTCCGCCGACATATATCTCTTCCTTGATCTTTCACTCCCCATAAGAAACTGTTACCATAGCCTATATGTTTTAATGCAGAAGACTCTCTACTGGTTTGCCCCTTTTCCTGTCCCTGTGAGAGCGGAAGGAGGTGTGATATCTTTAGGGGGCTACTCCCTGGAGACTATTTATCTACTGGTAGCCCACTATGGAAAGTCGATTGGTGGTGAAATATTGCAAAGAAGTGGCTCAGGGAGGGATCTGTGTGACTAGACGTGAAGCTGCGGGGCTACAGTTGTGTCAGGCGATGGGGCTTTCAGGGAAGGGATTTCTGCTGTGATAATCACGCGCACTTCAGAGAAGAATCAATCAAAACAATGTGGCGCTTACAATCATGCAGTGTACACACTAGAAATGGTTTACTTAGAGAGACCGGGACAGGGATGTTGGAATTAATTTCACTGGGGATAGAAATTTGAGTAGAAGATGCTCCCATAAATACTGTATTGACTTACCTCGAAAGGTATGAGACGATTGGATAGGAATTCATAAACCATTCGAGTAGGTTTTGACACATTTATGTCTACAGTTGTATCTCATGCATACTGTTGCATAACCAGATTCAGAAAAGAGGGCATTCTGCTTTGAGGAATTTGGTGAATAGTTTCCCTTTTTAAATTGTAGGTTTTTTTTGATTGATAATCCAATTCAACGAGGGCATTCTTAAACTAATTTTGGAGTGCTTTAGGCTGGCATCAGTTACGTAAGAATTAAAAATGATAAAGCACAGCTTATAAAATGTGGTAATATATTATATAAGCAAGTGACTCATTGCCATTAAATGTTTCATGCTGGAAGCTGTAGCTTCCATAGCGCTCCACTCACTGTTGTCGCTGTTCTCGTCCTTGCTGCCGTCGATGGTTCCATCCGGCTGCATCTGCAGGTAGAAGCCCTGCTGGCTGAACAGTCGTGTCACGATGCCTTTCAGCTGCGGCTCTGAAACACACGCACACACACATACACACACACACAGACAGCGCACAAACCACCGGCCAAGCCACAGCCCCATCCCCACCAAGAATATGTCAGAACAGCATTCTCTTAATTGTGAATGAAAACACACAGAAGAGTTGATAGCTCGGCTTTCAGCTAAGTGTTTGCACACTCACAGCTCTTCATATGAAGCAGTTTTAAACACGTCTTACAAACACGTTTCACAGACATAAAATGCACAGTGTTTAATTAATTAAAGAAGACAAGCTGGCTGTGGAAGATGGAGAGTACCAGCAGAGCAATTACAGACTTTTCACCCTTTAAACTGCCTAAAGCATTTAAAAATATTTACTGGTGTGTTTACATGTCCAATAAATTACACCTTCAGCAATTTTTGAATTGCATAAATGAAAAGCAAAAGTAATTAAATTTCTGCATGAAGTGTGAATCTCTATAAATATATTAATTAAATACTCAACTTTAATTAACACTTTAAAAAGTCTTAGTGTTCTCGTGGCACAGTCCAGCCTCCAATTGCCTGCTCACAAAAACTTAAACTTAAAAACCACTTCAGCTCTTTATTTAACTCTTACCAGCTGGTGAATATCAATACGACTATAATGGACAGTTTGTAATGAGTCATCTGTTGTACTGCATAATTCCCAAAGCGGCTTTTTGACGGGAAGGCCTTTACAATGAGAACGTCATGACAGAAAATCGATGAGAACATTGTTACTGTCTCATAATGTCTTACTGTATCAGGTAGAGAAAAATGGCTGTTTTTGCACCATTTAGAAACCCCTTTTAAAATCCCTTTGTAATGTACACTGACATGCTAATGGTTTCTTTATTTGGTATGAAGCAACTGTGCAGTTTTGGGTCGATATCACTGATATTCAATGAAAGAGATCCTGAGGTTTTATCATAGGCAACAGGTTTACCCCGAAGGACTCCAGTGCTTTTTCTTGACCTAAAGGAAACTGACCTAAAGTTTCTTAGAGTCTTTTTATTTCATTGCACTAACCCTGAACCGACCTCCAACTTTGAGGCTGTGACATCTGGCAACCGGCCAGGGTGCCGCTCGAAGCGCTCAACACTTCAGGGGAGCAGGTGGAAACGAGGATTAGCTCGGGGCAAAGAAAGACTCTCGGCCTCAGGCTACGCCAGGAAAAAATAGATGTGTAAAAAAAAAAAAAAAGAAAAGAAAAGTGTTTATCTGAGGGGGAAATGTGCGAGTGGTCTCTGTGGTCTGTCTAATGTCCGGCAGGTCTTTTGGATTTGTGCAAAAGCAGCAGTCAGAGTCAGATGACACCATTAGGTAAACAAGACTTGGCTTGTGGCTCCTGACAAGGAAACGCAGGAGAAGTAAAGCTTGTTCCTCAGATAAAAGAAAAGGTAGAGAGTGTGTATATCTAACTAAAACGTTTTCTTAGGGATACCGTGAATAATGAAACACTACAGCTGGAAACAGTGTTTGTTTTTGCAATAGCAAAAGAGATTTTGATACAAGCTCCACTGAAATCAGACATCAACTCAGATGCTGGATATTAATAATCCTTTGTTTATTCTCTGACTGACAAAAGAAACAAATTAAGCATTTTATCACAATTAAACTGGTGCTCAGTTTCATTTTATGCCGCTAAGTACCCATTCAACAATTGAAATGTTTGCTTTGCAGGGCTCACATCGTGTCCTGATAGATGATGTATGTGATTGCAATAAGGGAATATGAGTGTGCCTGACTGTCCTCCAAGGTCATAAGAAGAGTTGGAGGCTGTGCAGTTGAGTGCAGGCCAGTCAGGCACATAAAACCCCAAATGATTTAGCAGAAAGAAACTTTTTGGATATCGGGACAGAGAAACAAAACTCTTAGCCAGACCTGTCTTTAACAGTGACAGCATACACTGAGTCCATGGGCGGATTATGAGACAATAGGTGCCTGGGCCCCACCACCTCTCCTACGTAGAAGCAAGACGCACAGACACTGGGGTGGTTTTGCATCTGTTTGAAGTCATTATACATCTTATTGTGGTTGTTTTTGTCTCTCTTGGGTTTGTTTTATTTCTCTTCATAGTCAGTTTATCTCTCCTTGTAGTGGTTTTGCGCCTCTTTGTGGTCATTTTGTGTCTCCTTGTGGTTGTTTTTGTCTCTATTGTGGTTGTTTTGCCCATTTTTGAATTGTTTTACATCTCTTTGCAGTTTCTTTGCATCTCTTTGTGGTTCTTTTGTGTCTCTTTTTGGTCATTTTGAGTCTCTTCCTGCTCATGCGTGTTCTTTTGGCATTTGACATTTTGCAAGTGAAGGCCTGGGGTCCCCCTGACACTTTGAACCCCTGGGCCTGTGCCCAAGAGGCCCATTTAGTAATCCATCCCAAGTCTTTACTCAAACGCTGATCACAGCAATAATTACCAGTGCATATGCTCCTTTTATATTTCACAGAAGACAGCCCGTAGAAGGACTACGCCGGGTGACCCCCAACTAGAGTGGGTTCACCTCAACTGTACATCATCCTGACCATCAGTCCCCAACTCACCTACCCCTGGGATGGGGCCATCAATTCCTGGGACAGGCCCTTCATCATCCATCACAGGCAGGGTGAGGAGAAAGTGTGCGCGCTTATGTGTGTGTGTCAAAGTACATGGGAGGGTACACACCAGTAAATCACATGTGATAACTACGCTTCCATAAATTAAGACCTCAACGTGAGCCCGAGCAATCTCTGACGGCTCATCAGTTCCAATCATTTAGCAGAGAGGGTGTGTGTTTGTGTGTGTGTGTGTGTGTGTGCATGTTAAAACAGGCTTCAAGCCAAACTCCGGATTTTACCTCATGTGTTTGTGCAAGAAGAATGTCTTCCAGTGGCAACATACAGCAAATCATCCTGTGTGTGTATGGGCCATTAAAACGTCAATAAATTTACTTCATACCAATACAGAAGGACAAAAACATTTAGGTACGTCGACAAATGGAGTCATGACCATGAAATGGTGAATGATCACCTGTTCTGATATAGTGTTTGACAAGGAGGAACACAACATATCCATGTACACCAAAATACACTATAAGGACCTCTACTACACTTACACAGCAGTACTTGACACATATTTACAGACACAGAACAAGTAGCGAGGATAATCCGACGTAGACTGACGAGGAGAATGAGGCAAAAACAAAATGAGAGGAGGCAGAGCCAAAGATAGAGGAGAGACAGAGGAGCGACAAACGACTGGCTACAGGAGAGAGCTTTAGCTACCAGGAAAAAAAAAGAACAGGTACGAAATTAAGCTTAAGAAATCCAAGAAAGCCACACAGAAGGAGGGATGAAAGAAAAAAGAAGAGATCAGCAAGGGAGAGGGTCGTCGGCTGTCAGACAGGTGTTGAAGCCCCCCGCCCGTCCCTCCCTCTCTGTCCCACCCCTTTCCCCACCCCCACCCCCCTCCCTGGCCGAGGGGGAGTCGACATGGGCGCGAGATGGGGTGGAGACGAGAAGAAAACACAGCACACACGGATGGAGGCTGAGCTACTGACCTAGCCTGCAGCCCTTATGGGACACCTGTGGAGGTTTCGAGGGTGCATCTTACGAAGGGGGGGAATAGAAGGAAAAACAACAGTCTTTTAAACAGGCAGAATTCATGAATTCTCCAGTGTATCGGCTGTTTATATGCAAATATATGGCAAGGCATAAGGTAGATAAGGATGATCAATTAGAGGAAGCACAGCATCTGTCTTGTCCGTGCTTTCTGTCTGTTCATGTATGTGTCAGTTGCAAAGGAGTTACCTACCTGCCCAACAGTGTCTGGAGGCCTGACTGGCTTGTTGTCTGTCTGTCTGCTTGTGTTTCTATTCATTTTGTGGAGGCTTTTTTTGGCGCTGGGATTGTTTGTCTGTCTGATGAGGCTGCGCGACGACAGCGTTTTTAATTTAGTCTAGCTGGCTGGCTGGGTGTCTGTCTCTCCATTGTCCTCCCTTTCTGCCTTTAAAAAATGATGTCTGTCTGTCGTCCTGCCTCATTCCTCATCAGTCTGTCTGCAGGACTGTGAGTGGACCTGACTGCCGTTCATCACACACAGAACTATCTGGATTTGGGGAGGGCTGGCTTGCAGCACTGGCTTGTTATCTGTGCACCAGGACGGAGCCAGGGGAATTAGAAAAAAAAGGGGGGAAAGGCTATACCATGGAGTGTAGTAGGCTCGGAGCCTGTGTCTAATACAGCCAGAGTAGCTCTTAATCACTAAGGCTATACCTCCCTTCACTGCAGTAAAGCTCCCTCTCTGCAATAAACATTTACCATTAAAACATTTAATCTCAAAAGAGCCTTGGTGCACTGCGGTGCAACTTATCTCCCCTCTGTACCCCCAATCTGCAGTAATATTGGATTAGGTCATTTAAAGCAGCCTTTTTGAGTGTATTCAAGTTGTGTGTGTGTGTGTGTGTGTGTGTGTGGAGGGGAGGAGGGGCGTGTAAAAATTAAGTGTGCAAAATCGAAGGCTTACATATTAGCAGCTGGAACAAAGCCTATTCAAGCTGTAACTGAGATACAGTAGTTCCAGGGTGATTGATTATTCTGATCAGAGCAGGATCACAAGAAATAAAGGGGGTAACGTCACAGCATAGTATGGATCATTTGCTATACATTCAGGCCGCTCTTGCTCGGTATATGGGGGAGGGTTGTGTCGTGCGGTGGATCGACAGACAACAAGAAGACCTAATGGAACAGGTGGATTTTTTGGCACCGCGGAGAAAATCTACCTTCTCCTCCGGCTCAGATTGGAGCCCTTGACTGCAGTATAATGCTCCAAAGAGGGGCGGGGTGGGGGGTGCTGAGGGAAACCGCTTCCATACGCACACATAACACACATCAGTTCAAAAGGGGGGGGGGGGATCTACAGCACTGACCTGGTCGCCGCCGAACGGGTCTTTTCTTGCCGCTGCAGAAACGGACTTTGCTGAAGACCCCCAAGAAATGCCTCTCGCAGAGAGAGCGGGGGTCTTTGCTGGGGCTGGGGCGACGTTTCGAAGTCGAGACCCGGTCGCTGTTTGACTCCCTCGCCTGGCGTTTCTGCCGGATCAGGGAGCTGGCGATCGCGGCCATCTCCCCGAACCGAATCTGAAAACCGAGAGTCTGAGTTCGGCAGAGGTCGGATCTTGGTGCAGCTTCTTGGCGCAATAAAAAAAGAAAAACGAGAGAGTAGATTCAGAGTGTCCACGAGTGTTTTTTAACCAAATGTCATCCTGATCAGAAAATCCTCCGGGTCCCGGGCATCATTGCGCTTCAGGCAGCATCCTCTGGAGGGGACAGCGGCGCGTGAGTCTAAGTATCTGGCACTCAGGGCTTCAAATCAACACCCGATCTGATAGACAACATGCACCTACGGGCTAGGCCACAGGGGCCGACATGTCAGCCGTAAAGACATGCAACAGTGTTGATAAGTTGATGCAGCTGCGTGTCATTGGAGAGCTTCAGGTATTCCAGGTGAACAGAGCCGCGTCTGACGAGCACGACTTCGTAATCCTCATCTGCACACCAGCCTCTCCTCTGGCTCCCTGACGCCTTTTTTAATAATTCGCATCAACCTAAATCCATGCACGAGATGCTCGTGCGCGGCTGGAGAAATGAACTTTTTCCTCCCCTCTCTCACTAATAATTTACTCCCATGCACATCGATGAATGAGACCGGTCGCTGCCGGTCCGTGCGGCTGTGCGGGAGCCCAGATTACGTGAGCCCAGTCTCCGGTTCTGTCGATGGCACCTCGAAAATGCAGCCGGGGAAAATGGAATCGGCAGCAGAGGCTACTCTGCAAGGATGCTGCAGAGATGTGAGCCTGCAGGGAGGGATGCTCGTCTGGAAAAGCAACAATTAGTTGAGGCGAACGCACACCAGAGTGCTTTTTGTTGTAGCGCACAAATAATAAAGTAGGCAGAGCGTCATTTCCCGTGCGTCCTGGATGGATGCTGTCGGTGTGTTACATCGCCGACAGGGAGAGTGGACGGTCTCGGTCCACAGCCTCCTCCTCCTCCTCCTCCTCCTCCTCTCTCCCTCTCTCCCTCTCTGTCTCTCCTCAACTCTTTTAACGCAATCATACGTGATTGAGGTTCGTATTAGGAATTCTCGGAGGGGTGTACAGGGGAAAAGATGGATGATCTAAGGGAGGAAAAGATCTGAATATAAAACATATAAACAAGGGAAAGGGGTAAGAGCTGGGTGGGTGTTTATGCAGGGGGAAAGTGGGTGCGCGCGCGCGCGTCGTTTCATAGTCATTTGGGATAATGTGCACATCTAAAAAGGGGGCGGGTGACATCACAAATGTCTCGTTGAATTACAAATAAAAATCCGGATGTGCGTGCCACATTTAAAATGGGGCACATCAGGTCAGCAGAGGAGGCCGCATTAAAGTGTTCTTCTGGTGACAGAGATATCTTAATCAGCTTTGGCTGATACTACATTCTTATTCTCATAGCTTAAGCGACATAAGCACACTTTTTATTTTCTAAAACCCCACACATGCCATAAAGAGCATATTCAATGTGGCTAAAGGGATTACCTGCAACAGGTTCCAGCACAGAATATGAACCCAAAACAGAAATGGCACACTGGAGACCCAGATGGTGACACAACACATGGATGAATATGCTTTAGGGCAGGGGTGTCAAACACACGGCCCGCCAAAGGGTCAAAATGCAGCCCACAAGATGACCAGACTGAAAGGTGCCAGGTCTCAGGAGCAAGTTAGACAATGCATTGCCTACTTCATGTAAGAACTGTGACTATGTTTGAAGATATGGAACATTGTGCAAAAATACTGTCAGTCAGCAGCTTCAGATCAAAATAATCTGTATCAGGAATTAGACTGACTGAATTTGGAAAACCTGAGACATACTGCTGAAATTGCACTTATTTTCCTTGAGATATTTCAGGCTGTTCATCTGTTTTGTAAAAGGATGAACATCTACAGAATTACTGTAATTCTTAACACTAAAAAAAGGGGAAAATATTGGAGCTGATGACCGGTTATTGTGCGATGGTTTTATTGGTCCAGCCTATTTGAGATCAAATATGTGGCCCATGAACTAAAATGAGTTTGACACCCCTGATTTAAGGCTTATGGAAATGCCATTAACCATATAACAACATCATCAAAGGCACAAAACTCTGCATAAACCATAAAAAGCACTGAAACACAGCTTATAAATTTGCCTTTGAGCCAGGAGAGAAGTGCAGACATGAATATGTGAGAGCATACTGTATTCTGCATGTGTTTCTATCACAACCAATTGATTATTTTTACTGCCGCTGTTATAAGCACAAATACTTAATGGATCTGTTTTCATTGGAATTCACGGAATGGCTATAACTAAGCTGTAAATCAATGCAAAGTCCCCCAAAAATGTCCTGCAAACGTGTCTGTGTGCATGTGAGCAAGCCTCTGGTTTCATGCCTATTATTGCATGGACTGGGGCACACACACACACACACACACACACACAGATGCCACACTCACACACACACAGATGCCACACTCACACACTGTGGGAGGACGAACACGTGAGGCTTCAGCAGCATAGCAAACCTCTCTCTTCCCCCTGATGAAACAGCATGAAACATTTAGAGGCTTTTTCTAGGACTCGGTTTGACATTCTCTCTCCAAACCGAACCCTCGGAGAGACGCAGAGAAAGAGAGAGAGAGAGAGAGAGAGAGAGAGAGAGAGAGAGACGATTTTCTTTTGACTACCACTGTCTGTGCCCCCCTTACGTAAGATTCGGATATAATGGATGAAAGTGTTGAATGTGAAGCGCTGGTACCTTTTGTGTGTTTCACATGTGTGTGTCTCTTTGTATGTGTGAGAGAGAGAGTGAGATGGAGGGCAGCTACAGTCTTTTCCAAGAGAAAGGCAGACAGGGAGAATAGAGACAGCAACAGAAAAGTTTCCAAGCATCTAAATCAAAACCTGTAATCCAGCTTTGTATTCTTATTGAGTTGCCAGCGCGTGGTAGAAACAAATATGACTGCAGCATAAAGAAATATCAATAGCAACTCCAATACATCATTCATCACTCTAACGGATATGCAGGAGTGTGATATACATTTCCCGGATTGGCTGTTTGTAGTATACGGAGTGAGCCCTCTCAGAAATGGGAGGGACTTTGTGGTGAGGAGCACTGTGGAGACACGGGACATATATCTTTGTCAGGAAAAGATAAAGTATTCCCTAATGAGGATCTGCTAGGCTTCCTCCCTCTACTAGAGACAATTGATGTTCACTTCATTGCAGCTGAGATACGTCCGCGAGCAATAAAACACTGTCACTATGAAATGCACTGCAGACCGTATATTTTGCGATCAATTTGAATTGTCAATCAAAATGATGTGACTCTGTAAAGGTTTGCTAGTTCATTTACAGAAATGGTGTGATGTCATCATCCTCATTACCACCTATGTCATTTGTCTTTATTAGGGCTGCAACAAATGAATATATTCACTGTTGATAACTGTCTCGATTAGATGTTTGGCTCATAAAATGTTAGAAAATAGTGACAATGTTGATCAGTTTTTTATCCAAAGCTCAAGATGATGTCCTGAAATGTCTTGTTTAGGCCACAACCCGAAAATAATAAGTCTACTGTCTCAGAGGAGTAAAGAAACCAGGAAATATTTGCATTTAAGACACTGAAAGCTGAGAAAAAAGTGTTCTAGTTCTCCTCCATGTTGCGTTCACTGCAGCCCGCAGTATAGGAACTAAACATATGTGAAAACTGAAAGACATGAACCAAAGTCCCAGCGTCCCTGTGGCCCTCTCAGATGCCACCACCACCACCACCACAGGAGTGCCATGTTGTTCAGAGTCATTCCCTTATACTTGCTGCCCCCTTGTGGAAAAATAATGAACCACATGTGATCAAAGAGAGAGAGACCCGCGGATGTTTCCACTCTCCCAAGTTCGTCACTTCAGTGTGTCCTTGAGATACCGCACAGATTTGTTGACTCACAATAGCTGGAGCTAGTTTTCATCGAGTAATGTCTGCTAAACTGTCTTGCCAAGTCTCCAGGAGGCAAAGAGGAGGCATGTGTGAGAGTAAGTGTGACACTGTGGCTCGCAATGCTCGTGACCACAGTTACACTTACCAGCATGGATGGATTACTGAACAGGCCTACAGCACTGGGCATAGGCCCAGGGGCCCAAAGTGTCAGAGGACGCCCCCCCCCTTGGCCTTCACGTGCAAAATGTCACTCAAGTTAACACATACCGACCAGGAAGAGGCTCAAAATGACCACAAAGAGACACAAAATTAGCACAGACACACAAAACCACAACAAAAAACGAGGCAAGGAGGTCCTGTAGCGGCCTTGTAGTGGATGTTTCAGTGTACCAAAGTTACTAGACCACTTAGTTTATGAGGTGTCTCAGTTCTGACTCATGTTTCTATTCCCTCTCTGGTGATCCACAGTATTCACATGAGGGAGGGAAAAAGTTCAACGAGGTTTATTGACAATACTACCGATTCAATGTCCTATTTTTATATATTCTCACATATTACCCGTTATTATTCTTAAACACTGTATAACATGGTCAACAACTTATAAGGATCCAAACCAATACAAACGCATGACGTTAACCACCATCTCCTTTTGGCATGTGCACTAAACTGCCTTATGACACTATACCTAGCACAAATAACTTGTGCCTGCATTCTGACACATAAATACAGTAAATATAAACCTAACTTTAGTATAGTCCACTACCATACACTATTCAAAATATACAGAAACTGTTGCGTAAACTTTAATATCGTCAGAACCTATATGATGAGTCATCAACAAGGAAATTCTTACCGAATATTAATATGTGCTTAAGCTGCTCTTACAGGCTGACTGTCTCATAATCTGCCCATGACTACCAACACAAGTCAGAGCTAACTGTTAGGTTATAGTTAGTGTGATACATTTGTACTATAACTACATAACGCCCAAGTTGTATGGATGGCAGTGTGACTCTTATTTATGTTAAATTTAGTACAGCAAAATATGAGGCAAAAGTAAAATCCCTGCATTGCAAACAAGAAATTTTTTCAACATTTACATCACAATAGGAACTATTTCAGCAACAAAGACAATTGTTCTCATTCATTAAAGCAAAAAGCTACAAAACCACAGCAACACACACACACACACACACACACAAACACACAGATGGCAACCAGCTGCTAATTAAAAAAGACAAATTAGGTTAGTCACTGAAACAAACTGTGTTTGACAAGAATGCAAAAATGTCTGATTCCCCTAAAAAATGCTGCACATTAGTCTGCAAAAGATTGCCTCATTTCACAAATCAGTCACTCTACAGAGAAATAAAAGCTGTTCCCCAAGTAACTTAAAGGAACAGTGTGTAAGATTTAGAAAGATTTAGTGGCGTCTAGCGGTGAGGAGTGCAGACTGCAACCAGCTGAAACTTCTCATGGTCAAAATTTCTACAGTTTTCGTTGTTCAGGAGGTTTTTACCAAAGCCAAGTTATCCACAGAGGTCTCCTCATCTCCAAAACAAATGGACACTGTGATTTAAACTGGTAAAAACACTGAATAAAGCAGTGTCATGTTAGAAATCAGTGTTTCTCTGATGTTGTTTGGCATGTCAGAAATGGCTGCGAGCCTAGCACCTGCTAATCAGTGCTCAACTCTTTTCTCTGATAACTAAACATCCAGATGTTCAGGAGGTTTTTACCAGGAGCCGAATTATTAGCAGAGGTCTCTTCCTCTCCAAAAGAAACAAACACAGTGATTTAAACCTCTAAAAGCACTGAATAAAGCAGTGTCATGTTAGAAATCAGTGTTTCTCTGATGCTGTTTGGCATGTCGGAGATGGCCATGAGTCTAGCGCCTGCTAATCAGATAACTTAGGAGGTTTTAACCAGGAGCTGAATTATCAGCAGAGGTCTCCTCCTCTCCAAAACAAACACTGTGATTTAAACTGGTAAAAGCGCTGAATAAAGCAGTTTCACATTAAAATAATCAGTGTTTTTTTCTGATGCTGTTTGGCATGTTGGAATTGGCTATGAGCCTAGCGCCTGTTTATGTGTGCTCAACTTTTTTCTCTGATACCTAAAGGATCCAAACATTCAGGCGGTTTTTACAAGGAGCCGAATAATCTGTAGAAGTGTGCTCCTCTCCAAAACAAACAAACTTGGTGATTTAAACAGGTAAAAACACCGAATAAAGCAGTTTCACATGACAAATCAGTGTTTCTCTGATGCTGTTTGGCATGTCAGAGATGGCCATGAGC